GGGAAAAAGAACAAGAACATTTTCTCAATGACCAGGACATGAATTTGATGAATTTTGTAAGATTAAAATAAATTGTCGTTAAAAGTGATTGTAATACTGAGGATCCTTTGATATTTCGTTGTATCGGTTTATTTTATTTGTTTGTCTTCTTATCTCATTCCGTAATGCCTTCATAAACCCATTGCACGCGTTCGAGGAGCGAACCACAAATTAACTAAACTGCGTCTCATTAAAATTTCTATATACCGTTATCATTGTAGATATTGGTAACATGTAATTATATCGCAAATTGCTGACGGCGCTTAGTAATTTTAGTAGGTATCCAGGAATATTATGTACTTAGGTTATTGGCAATTATATTATGCACAGGTACATTACAGAAGAACAATAACAGGCATGCTAAATATAACTTAAGGCTCTCCAAAGTCACTACTTCAAGTTTAGCATTTGAGATATCCCTAATTATAACTGAGGATTCCACGTATGTATCGTATAGGTAACCCAGACCTTGCTTAAGTACCTAACTCTTCCAGTATATTGCCGAACCCAGTGTGCGATGATTGCTTGTATGGGCATTCTATTTACGGTCGCCATAATACTTACAGTGATATACGTGAAATGGAGGTACACGTACTGGAAAAGGAGAAACGTTCCACAACTGTCGCCAAGTTTACCCTTTGGAGACATGGAAAACCCGCTCGCACGTAAACATGGCGTCGGAGAATTGATAGCGGTTTTCTATAGAAAATTTAAAGAAAGTGGCGAGAAACACGCCGGCGTCTACGTTTTTGCATCTCCAAATTACCTACCCATCGACCCGGAACTAATAAAAAATATCATGCGGAAAGATTTCCAACATTTTGTAGATCGCGGATTTTACTACAACGAAAAAGATGATCCTCTAAGCGCCAACCTCTTCAGCATTGGCGGTCAAAAATGGAAGAACCTGCGCGCTAAGCTTACGCCGACCTTCACTTCGGGTAAGATGAAGATGATGTTTGATACTCTGGTGGAATGCACTCATCCAATGGAGGAACTTATGGCAAGTTATTTTGTCAACAAGGAAACGATTGACATTGGAGATGTTTTTTCGCGTTTTACGGCGGATGTTATTACTTCTTGCGCCTTTGGTTTGGAGTGCAACAACTTTAAAGGTGACGATACGAAGTTCCGTGCCCACGGTAAAAATATACTGGCTCCACGAAGCAAAGCAACAACATTACAAGTTTTGTTTGCGGCGGCACTACCGAAGTTGGCTAACAAACTGGGGATAATCTTCATTCCTAAGGAGAGCTCTGCTTTTTTCTTCGACGTTGTTAAAGACACCATTAAGTACAGGCGAGAAAATGGCGTGCAACGCAAAGACATGTTACAAATTTTAATGGAACTTCAAGAATCGAATGTCAACGCATTAACAATACAAGAAATTGCAGCTCAAGCTTTAATGTTTTTCCTTGCCGGTTTTGAAACTTCTTCTTCTACTATGAAGTTTTGCCTTTACGAACTAGCAACCAATGCAGATATACAGGAAAAAGTGCGGGACGAAATTAATCAGGTTTTAAAACAACATGGCGGAAAACTTACTTACAATGCGATCACTGAAATGAAGTACATGGCTCAAGTTATCGACGGTAAGGTCCTTTGCATTAATGATTTAGTAGGTTTCATGTTTAGAGACACTAAGGAAGTATCCACCTCTGACCTTCATAACACGGAAATGCATCAAAGATTACGTTGAACCAAGCAGTGGGGTTACGATAGAGAAGGGCACCAAGGTACACATTCCCGTATTGGGCTTACATATGGATCCGGAGTATTTCCCCGATCCTGAAAAGTTCGATCCGGAGAGGTTTTCCGAAGAGAACAAGCACAGAATTGTTCCCTTCACTTACATTCCCTTTGGCGAAGGTCCTCGCCATTGCGTTGGTGACTATCGACGTCCGTAGTGAAGATGGAATTGTTTAATTTCTTCCCCGTTTTAGGTATGAGGTTCGGAATGATGCAGACCAAAGTTGCTCTAACCTGTTTGTTGAGAACTTATTTATTTACCGTCAGTCCGGAAACACAAATTCCGCTCAAATGGAGTAAATACAGCTTGCTTCTCACAACGGAAAATACAATATGGCTAAACATTGATCGAGTCTGTTGAGTGTTGTTTATTTGTTTCAAGTTTGCCTACAATACTTATTAAAGTACTCGGAAAACGCATAATTAAATATATTCACTCATCAAGCTTATAGTATGACAACTCCTCTACGAGGGGAACTGGAGAGGTTAGGTACAACCCATTGAATTCAGAGCAGGTAGCCGAGCATGGCCTGCCTTTTGACAGCCACACTTTGGCTCCCACGTAATCTTGAATGAGCAAAATATCATGTTCAATATAGAGTCGCTTGATAAGTAAAGAAACGGTCAATTATCTGCGAAAATATACAAGGTATCAAAAAAAAATTATGCAAAAGTCTTCAATGTCTACTAGGCAGTAATAATTTTAATTATACAGGGTTGCTCATAAAGGTGCAGCACACCCAAATTTTGTATATGCATCTGCATATTGTAAGCACCGAAATTCAATCGTTTCCGGGTTATCGAGTTTTAAAAATAAAAGCATTATTTTAAAATTCATTCATTAATAATTGAACAAAAAACAATAATTAATGATTCCAAACAATCTTAAGAAACTTTTCAAGCGGTTTTTTTCAGAACCACAGAATGTTTTCAAAAGAAATTCGTATTGTCATTAATTATTGTTCTTTATTCAATACATTTTATCTTCAAAACTCGATAACTCGGAAACGATTGCATTTTGGTACATGCTTCTTACGAATTATGCCCAGAATTGACAGAAGAATTGAAATATCGAATAATATACACGGTGTTCCATCTAAAAATGCAATATTGTTGTGTCACACCTTTATGACCAACCCTGTATAATTAAAATTACTACTGCCTAGTAGACATTAAAGAACCTGAATTCTTTTGTATAAAACTTTTTTGATGCCTTGTATATTTTCCCCGATAGTCGACCGTTTCCAGACTTATCAGCGACCATGTAGAGACAGGTGCGGCAGGGTGCCGGGTGTGGACCGGTTCTAGCGCTGACGACGCTTCTTTCCACCCCCATTTCCTCGGATCCAGAGGGTTCCCTACCTACAACTGAATCTGGTGGTAAACTCTGCATCGCAACTTTAGTTGGGGAGAAAGAAGCGACGTCCGGTGGAAACAAGGCATGTCGGAGGGCGTTTATTGGCGTTATGGTGGGGAGAGCTCCGTATAATGCTACATTTTCTCTTCAGACAGGACCTCTGATGTGGTGGTTGTGTTGTAAAACAGGGGTGGAATTTGTAAAAGCCGAGGGTTTTTGTGAACTGTTTTAATTATTTTAACTTTTCCATGGTTGTATGTCGCTGAAGTAGGGTCACATCCTAACGATTGCTGGTGTTGATTTGATGAAAATAATAAGGGTGATACTTTGAGCTTGTCGGAATAAAAATGAGTATTTGGGTGAACCGGAGTCAGTCCAATTGCCAAAACCAGCGGGTCCACGTCTTCCTCCACCACGGCAACTTGACCACTTTTAGCTGCCTTCTATATGGCTGTCTGCATCCCCGTACCCCTCAAAGCGTTAATATCATTGTGCTGGAGTTTTGGGATTAGGGCAGCTTTATTACTAACATTTATTAAGAAAACATCTTGTTTGGGGGTGACGGGGAGGTTTTCCTCAACACTGATCTACGCTGTTGCACGGCCATTTTCATCACAGTATAGATTGTATCAAGGTTAAAAGGTGACGCTTTAACGAACGATAGTGGTTTTCACACCTCATTGTGCCATGGGCAGCGATCATAAAAGCTTTCCATCCAGGCATCTGGGGGAGATTTGCGAACACCCACAAAACGTCAGAAGATTCCACCTTTGTGAGCTCCTCACAACTAGGAATTACAGTAAAATCAGCAATTACAGTGTTTTTCAACCCAGGTTGAAGAGGTTCGTAATGTACATGGGACCAAGTGCTTTGCTTGCATTTTAACTATTCCTCCATTACATTCAAGATGGGAGTCTGGAGTGATGGCCTTGATTCCTCCCATGCTGTGTGTTGTGCTCATCAATGGTAGCAACATTGAAATCAGCATTATCGAAGAGGAACTGCATAAATGAGTCAAGAGGAAGTGTGTATCTCCATAAGATGAACAAAAACCCAAACTGTTAATCAGGTTTTTGGATCAGTATATTCTGTGAAGCAATCCCAAATCATCTTGAAGAGGTGAAGTGATGGTGCGAGGCCGAACTACTTTTATTATGGTGTCAGCTATTGAGGTGACCTTTGACCTTTACCTGGGATTTGATTTCAGCAGTATCTTTGCTTATTGAAAACAGAAAACCTTAAAATTTCAGCTTTGTTGCAGGAATGCCGCTGTTACGGTGTTATGTGCTAAAACTATATCGCTGATGGTTTTCATCCCGGAAAAAGGGATGACAAAAAATCGTCCGGCACCTGCTTTGTCGGGGTGACGTGATTTTTGATTAATTTCATGTCAAAGTCATTGGTCACGCCCGACCAGCTGGTCGAGGATTGTTAGTTCTGTGGGTTAATGTCGCCACAAGTGTTACCAACCACAGACAGTATATCTTCCTTTATTATAGCTGCTGCAGCCTGTACTACTCGCACTTGTTCTGCTTCAAGTGTTGATTTTTTTGAAGGTGTACCATGCCTCATTGAGGATTTCGTGTTCCCTTCCTCTGAACAACACAACCGGTGTTCTTTTCTAAGTTTGCATTATGCCGTCCTCATATTTCTCAATCAATTTCTTTCCAACGGCGCGTTTATTGGGGCCTTGATCGGCCCATGATCTCCTCGAAGGAAAACTGGCATTTGTTGTTATTTTTTTCCAAAAAATTACAAATTTCTTCCATGGCGTCTTTGAACGGGTCGGCCTCATTCTCTAGACTGACAAGAGGGGTGTGTGAAGAATGTGAGGTAACAATCTTGATGGTACATTGCCTCACTTGCTACTAAATCGTGACAGACGTATTTGCACTTGCCAAGTGCATTCATCCTTCCTTCCATAACCAGCTTCAGTTCATACCAACTGTTCGAACTTTATACACTGGATACCGTTTTCGAGACTCTCTTCCGTTGCTTTATGTGCTTAAAATCAAATGACTGTTTACTTGCTCCCAAAAAGGGATCCGGTGCCGATGCCCCATCTCTTTGCTTCAGGTATGCCTCAGTAGAGGCCTTGTGTAGTTTTTTTTTTGCTTTTCCATTTTTCCTACACAAACTAGCCCTTTCACACCAACATTCACTTTATCTCCTCCATTGTTCGAGATAAAAAAATCCAAAATGAGGGCCTGTTGCGCACCCCCGACATATGAGGTTTTTGGATTATGTTCAAGAGGAAGGTCCAAAGAACAGTTTGGGCCAAATTGAAAAACTATAAGTTTTTTTTATATGGGGATTTTGGTAGTACCTACTGGGCTAAAAAGAAAAACAAAAGTTAAAACATAAGCAACCTTATACCGTATGCCTCAGGAAGAACGCACCATAGGGAATCAGGATTAATGTATTTTTTCGTGAAGGATCCAGGAGGCTAGAAAAAAATTGGAATAGTACGTTAAGCGCTAAGTTCAAAGGCCTCGCGGATCCTTCGTGAAAAAATACATTGCTGTTTCCCTATGGTGCGTTCTACCTGGGACACACTGTACATGCATTAGGTGGAGGTATCGTAGACACCGCGGATTTATCGCTGGAGCCAAAACAAACTGGAAAATAAACGGAAAAGTAATTCTCTGACCTGGAATAACTAGTACGGGAATTAATAATTAAGAATGTGGAAAAGTTTGGTCTGGAATACAAAGAAATATGGTTCTGGTCGAAGTGATCTGGGAAAAAGTTCTTGGTGAAATACAAAATCGTGCTTTTATAGTGACAAGGAGAAACACAAACAAGTGGAGAATTAATATATTGGAGATAAGGTATACTAAAGTATACATTAATTGGGGACAACAACAGGCGACATCTAACGTAGAAATTAAACAACACTTGATTTCGGAAACGATATCCAACAATTAAGTGCCAATAATTTAAATTAAAAATGTCAGTTTTGATCTCAAAGTAGAATACAGCTTAGTCACGTCCTATTATTGATAAGAAATCCGCCAACTTCTTGCGGAGTGGTAGGAGGAATTAGTAAGTAGGGAGACCGGGAATTTTCCAATGCGCTTTGAACCGTCGGCGTCGTAGGAATCACGTCAAAGGTATTGAAATTGCGGGTAATCAAGCTGGAGATTGTCATCGAAGCGTCGGCAAAGATCGGTTCAGAGTGACTTCAGAGACTTTTAGCAAAAAATAGAAACAGTGCATCAGTAAACAGTTCGGAAGTCGTATTAAATTCAATTCGACGAATCGGCAGCCTAAAAGCAAAAGGTTTGCTCGCACCACATTTAAATCTCGGTAGCAGTCGGTTCGGACTCGCTGGATCAGGTGTCAAGTCAAATGCAGTTAAACACACCAACAAAAACGAAACATCATAAATACAAGTGTAAAACATGATCCCTCAATTCAGTACAAAAGGACATTAAACTCATAAACTCATAAGAAGAGACTCCGTTCCCTGTCCTTTTCCCTCCAGAAGACTCCTTTAAACAGTACCTACAGCCTTCGAATTGATTCGTGGCACTGTGAAGTATGACTTCGGCTAGGGTGAGAGCAGAAACGGATTCAAATATGACAGTCACAGTGGTAGAGGGAGCTTTATTAGTGAGAAGACTAACAAAATATTAAGATTGGATGTAATAAGTTCCTAGTGCCGTCAATGTGTATCAAGAAAACATCTGAACAAGAGTGCGTGAGAAATCATGATGGTCTCTCGAAGTCAATGGAGTCAGGGTCGGCAGTCAAACTGATCCTCGAGAACCTCAACTTGGTTAAAGCTGGAGTGCGAGTGGAACGGCTGATTGGTGACAAAGATGCACAAACTTGAACCGAAAAACTGTTTGACTTCAGAAATAATAGAATTTCTCAAGAGATGTTTTAATAATGCCATCAAGCAGAAGAAAGGGGATGTGGAGAAGGTGATGGCAGCCCTAGTGAATGTTTCAGCACATGCTTTGGTGGGCACATTGCGTGTCCAGTCAACTACAAGTAAAGGAATCTACCAGGAATGCAGCCTCTCTGCGATCCAAGGTTTCGTGCTGATCTAGATGCAATTATTGGAGAGCACGTTTAGGTG